TCAGCAGATGCTGGGAGACGGCTCTCCCCTGCTTACGTATTGGCCACACTCGTATCTGATGTCACATTCTGATCCACCCCTATGTTCCCTATGTAATGTTCCTCTTTCAGTTCTGCACATTCTGTTGTCCTGTCCGCGCTTTACTGCAGCCTGTACCTGTGCTTTTCTTTGCCTATCCTCCCTTCACTGTCCTCTCAACCTGCCAGATATCCTTATGAAGTCCCACTCTGCTTTGACAACCTGTTGTTCCTCTGATGCACACTTATCCTTCACTTGATCTAATCTCCCTTACTTAATTCTACCTTAACCCATTCACTCAAAGCCTCCTTTACCCATCTTTACCCTTTCTAATACTATAGACTGTTGACATATAGCAACTAATCACTAACTCAACACCCCTCCCAACCCTTCTTAATACTATACTGTACCTTCCTATAGTGCTACATGACCTTTGATGTCTGGCAGTTATTTTTGCTTTCAACCATTAACCAGCCATCCCTTCTTTTGTCCATTTATCCTAAACAGTTAACTCATTTTAACCCTTTTTGCCACAATATTTTGTCATAATGCTGTATGACCTTTGATGACTGGCATATTTGTTTGCTTTAACCATTGACCATTCTGGAAATCCACAACCATTGTCTTGTGAACCCCCAAAATATCTTACCCAGGGGCTTTGCTGCCAAGCCCCACCCTATGGCTATATTTTGAATACGCGAATGATCTTGGATGTTCAGACAGTAAAATTTCAATAGATAAATAAATAAAAACTTAGCATACATACATTAAAGATTTTTTAGTAATAAAAATCAAGATATCAAAAATTCTATGACTTGTGAGAGCAAATGTATAAAATATGTTTCTGGTGCTCAAATAACCCATCAGCAAGGAACTAATCAAGTAACAAATGTTAGGGAGGTAATTATAGAGCTGTAGGGAAGAATAACACTGTATTTGTGGTATTCTTAAGTCTTGCAGGGAACCAAAGGCTCAAGGATTACATGAGGTCTTATTAGGAGTACGGACATTTTGGTATTGGTGGCAGGAGGAAGCTACATATCTTCAGACCCTGAAATTACTGGTATGGTTTATAGCAGCAAAGCCTGGACTCTATCCTGTGCTTGGAATCACATCTTCACACAACAGGGCCTTGTGTTGGAATATAAGGCAGAATTGGCAAGACTATATGTCCAGTTTCTTACATGACTCAGATTGTGTGGTCACTTTGATTACTTTTCTTTCATTGTGTTTATTTACTTTTTTTTTTTTACAGAAATGGTGGCTAATTAAATGCCAAAACATTAAAGTAAACTCTACAGGAAGGTAATAGTGCAAATGTTCATTTTTATTGGATGTGATCAAACTAGTGGGCTACTTTCATGACTGTTAGCAAATGGTGTACTTAGGCATGTCTTTATATATGTTAAGTATTTGATACTATTATAAAAAAGTGACTACAAGTTGCAATTATTCTACAAGTAAATAACTAAGTGTAATATCAATTGCAATTACATATTTTTATTTTTATTTGTAGATGAATATGTTTTTTAAAAACATGTTTAATTCACTTTAAGTTTGTGAGGGGGCAGGGTGTTTGCAAGGGTGATACTGGTATAGGTTATCATTTAACAAAAAAATAGTATAGCACTATCTATCACTAACATCATTAAATGAAAAGGTTGAAATACCTTCAATAGCTAAATTATTTATTAAATAGTATGTCAATATTGTCTCAAGTACCACATCTAAGAGTAACTTAAAAGAGAATATATGAATCAAAGAAAAGTGAAAATATTTCTGCTCTTACCAATATCTGACCTCATAAGTTTTAGCAACCAATTTTCTTCAATTTCATGAATCACTTTGACAAATGGTAAAAGAATGTGGGAATAGAACTTAAATTTTGGAATGTGGTCTGAAGAAAAGTTCAAAGCCAATATGCAAAATAAAAGAAAAATAAATGCAACTTTTAAGCTAAACAAATTCATGCTAATCTTTAACTATGAAAACTGTTGAAATTTGACAAAATGCCCTGCACCTACATTTTCATCATTGCTTCTGTTATGTACAAAAGACTAACACCAAAACTGCTAATCGACTAATGTTTTTACAGCCATATGCTTACACAAAATGTAGAGTTCATAAATAAGACTCCGAGGCCATATCGGTATGTGTAGATGCAACAATGATTCCACAATTATGTGATAATGCAACTGATAGGATGGTACCCAGGGTGAATTACTTTAAACAGCTATTTATCAAAATACACAAATTTAACCCAACTTTACCTGGAAAATGTATTCACTGCAGTATTGCTTTGTGAAATGTCTTAACACATAGATGACTCTACAAATACTTAGCCACAAAGGAGTCACTTTGTAGGCCTTGTGACTTCACCTGATTTCATCTTTCCTTGAGTCTGCGGGAAAATGCTTTTTACTAATGCTGTTAATTTTTTATTATAGTCACTATAATTATTATAGTGTTACATTACTAACAGCAATACAAGATATCAGAAAATATTTTAAAAAATCAAGGACAACAGTAAACAAGTGAGACAGTTGGCTCATTGGTTACTTAGTACTTGTGGAACTGTCCATGTGTAAAAAAAACAATTAATAAATTAAACTCACCATGGTATGTATGTATATGCCATTCCCGGCGGCTTTAAGTTATCAAACTAAAAAGTCTATTCTTAATCATCAGACTTACCTGCATCAATGTAAAATGTACGTTGTGGAGCATGAGACTAAGCACACTAGAAGAAGAAAGAAGAAAGAAGAAAGAAGAAAGAAGAAAGAAGAAAGAAGAAAGAAGAAGAAGAAGAAGAAGAAGAAGAAGAAGAAGAAGAAGAAGAAGAAGAAGAAGAAGAAGAAGAAGAAGAAGAAGAAGAAGAAGAAGAAGAAGAAGAGGAGGAGGAAGAGGAAGAAGAAGTAGTAGTGACATTTACCTAAGAAGAAGTAGTGATGTCCAACTAAGAAGAAAAAGAAGAAGTAGAAGGAGTGATGTCCACCTGTGGAATGCACTGAGAACACAAATGCTTAAGCACATTACCTTAAAATTTTTGGAATAAACTATTTTGTTTGCCAGAAAAAGGTGAAACACTATGGATATGATTTTGTGAAAATACTTACTAATCAGCAGTAATTACAATAAAAAATAAGTATATTGTGAGATCATTTTGCTTACACAATGATAAAAAAATAAATTAACTAACTTGTACAAACACTGCATTAGGGTGACTGACTGGAGAAAATGTTTTTCATTTCTTTATTCTTAATGTTTATCACAGTGGTTTTACACATAGAAATGTTCTAGTGTATAATTAACTTACAAACCTCATTATCAATGTCATTTAGCACATGGTAAATAATTCTAATGAAATATAAAATTGCCTCCGTAATGAGGTAGAAACTACAGTTCAGGATGCTTGGCAATGCAGTTTTATATTACTACCAGTCTCTTAGTAGTTTATGTAAGTGGCATAAAGTGTACTACATTGACAAATATTATACCAAAATAAGCAAGAGAAGATAAGCTCTTTTGTAAGTGTTAACTGAGATTGCTTTACAAACTAAAGTTCCCTAATCTTATACATACAAATCTAGCATTCTGATATGGTGCATGTAGTTTTATCTGATTTTCAAAATATATGTGTTGATGGCTACTATGTATATAACCAAATATTGCAATTTCTTCATCAGAAATATTTGTTTCACACTTCTATTTTACTTGAACACATCACCATTTTAAATTCATCTATATTTATATCTATACATATATATATATATATTTATATACCTGTTGCTAACTCATTTAAGTACTTGTTTAAGTAGAAATTTTAAAATACTGTGAAAAAAGGCAGAAAATATAGCAGTTTCTCAGTTTCTCACCTTTCTATAAATGCATATTGTTTATGCACTAATCCGTGGAACATAATCACATATACTCTGTATGAATCATTTCCCACCTCCACTCAAACACACAATACACAAGCACTTAAAACTGCACAACATAATTTTCCTAATCACAATACATATCATCACCTACTTCCAAACTGTCATAATATCCTTGATTGCATTAAACTAATATCCTAATGCCACACACGTATTAGAAACATTTCCATTTAGATGCATATCACACGTGTTTCAGAAGTAACATGATGGTAAAAATGTGTTTTATATGAAGAACAGTAGTTTTTCATGGATCCTCAAGAAAACTGAGGTCATTTACATAAAATAAAGACTGCTGGAATATCCAGCCTGGACAAAGATTTGAGTTCTATCTCTAATATGTTGAAGTGTAAATTACTAAATAGTTTTATTTATCCCACTATGAGTAATCACACTATTGGCAGAAGTACAGTGCAGATCAAAATCCTGGAAACTAATTTTCACAAAAGAAAAAAAAAATAAACAGAACAAAATTAAAGGTATTTTTGTACACAACAACTGGCATGACCTGCTTAATACTTCATGAACTGACTACAGTAGGGCTTACTGGGTTCCACTGCTGTAAATACCTGTACTGATAGAGACATGTTTATTTTAAAAATTATTACATTAAGCCATTTTTTTTTAATCTGGTATCAAAGGACTTCTGTTGGATATCAAAAAATACTGCAAATACTGTTCTTTTTTTCTGTATGCAACAAGAAAATTAGGCAACAAAATGTAGTTAGTGTACATCTGTCATGGCTAGTTGCTTACCTGTATTCAGAGCTAAAGCGAAACAAAGACAACTTCAAAGAATATTTATGACAAAATTCATAATAACCTTCAGGGTCAATAATATGCTTTGCAATGTCTTACTATGAGGTTCTTTTTTTTTTTTTTTTTTTTTTACTTCTCTGTAAAATTATAAAATGTGAAAGTTACTTAATGAGGTTGTAGGGAAAATTAAAATGCTCAAAGGTCAGGGTTGTAGCTATATTGTGTTTTACCTGAGAAGAGCACTGCATATCCAGAAGCCTTTGGTACTGTATCACATAAAATCATGAGTTTTTACTTCTCTGTAAAATTATAAAATGTGAAAGTTACTTAATGAGGTTGTAGGGAAAATTAAAATGCTCAAAGGTCAGGGTTGTAGCTATATTGTGTTTTACCTGAGAAGAGCACTGCATATCCAGAAGCCTTTGGTACTGTATCACATAAAATCATGAGTTGCAGAAATGTGACTGCACAGAAAGGAATTGCACATTCTATATATGGAAAGAGTAATCCGTCTTCAAAAAATCTGCTAAAACTGCCCCTTAATCATTGGTAATGTTAAGACAAATGTTTTGCATATCTACTTCCTGCAAATAAAGTAAACAAGCAGCATATAATGAGGGAGGGGGGTACTGTGATTGCCATCTTATTCAACATCCTTGACATTCAAAGGAGCTTTCCGAGTCATTGCCGAGAATTTCTGTAATGTCTTCTCAGTGCCTCGAAATCACTGTGCATCACTTAAAATCTGGACTTTAAATGATTAATTACACCATAATAATGTGCAAGTTAGCGTAACACTAAATACTCTAAACTTGATACAATCAAAGGGACCATACAAAGTGACACACCCTCACACAACTTACAGTAACTCCACAGTTATGCTGGTCCTCAAAAAATATCTGAATAATTGATATTTGACTGTGATCAAATGAACATTTTCCCCTTTTAATGAGGAAACGTATTTTTCAAAAGAAGTCAAAATCATATACGACCGTAATGCCCAAAATGGAATTAAAATAACTTGGAATTAAAAAATATCTGAAAGGATACACACATCCTCTTATACAATATCACTTACAATTACTTACAAAAAGTAGAAATAAACAAAAAATGTACACTATGCACAAAACAATCCTTACAATAAATTAATGAGTTAACTTGTATACACAGTCTGGAAGACGCATATTTCTGGAAAATATCCTCACCTGGTAACAAATTACTCCAACTCGTTTAATGCCTGAAGTATATTTAGTCTAACTGTAGATTATCCACATCTAATATTAGGCATTTTTCTGGCCTCTCTGTTGTTGATGCATTTTCTAATTTTCTTTTCAGACTTACTCTAGTATAGTTGGTCTCACCGTCCTCACAAGTCTGAGAAAGCAAATCTGAACTTTCCTCACTACTGGTAGTCTCACTTAGTGTTTCAAGCATGTCTTCACTTGGCATCAGATTGACTTCTTGTATGCCTCCTGGATTCCTTAGATTGCAACTAGCCTGTTCCTGATTTAATGCACAAACACCTTCTGTGCCACCCTCAGACAACTGATAATGTCTCCTTGTTAAACTCTCTCCAGCTGCACCATTACGGCTTTCTACCCTCATGCACGACACATCTTTAGGGTTTGGTGGTTCGAAATCTGGTGATTCCTGAGCCATTTCACTATCACTAAAATCCATCCTGGAATCGTCAGGTCTCTCATGAGCACTTGGTTTTATGTCACTAATTGCCTGGGCCCCACCTGCTCTCGCTTCAACAGTCCTGCTGTTTCTGTCGCAGATACTACTGTTCATACTGTCACTTGAACTGGGTTCAGACTGCTTTTGTAGTTGCTTTTCTTGGTAATCCACGCGATTGATTTGCTCTTCACGTTCTAACTGCTGAGTTCTGTAAACAACACCACTACACCTTGCCCCTATTGCAAGACCATCAGTTTCCATGGCAGAAAAGCCTGCTTCATCTAGAAGAAAATAGAAAATAATCATGGATAGCAAAACAAACAGAGAGAAAAACTGATCAATCTTGAACATTTCTTAACCTTATACGGGATCAAATTGAAGAAATAATTACCTCCAAGACTTGATGGCATAACCACCATATGAAGGTAGTCAGCCTCTGAAAGACCCAGTGAAGCCAGAAGGTCCTCAAGGAGTGGCACTGGCTTCCGCCCAACTTGCATAGTGCTAAAGGCAGGCATGCTGTAACGGTCTATGATCCCTTGTCGTCGACATTTAAAATCAAAGCTGAAAAGAAGAGCATAATACTGCTACATATCTTGCAAATATTTATAAATTTCTACAAAAAAAATATTATAAACTAGTCAGTCACACATAAAAAACAAAAACATGATGATCATACCTTTTACTGTAGATAATCAATGCTGGTTGAAGCAACTGGTGTTGAGTGAAACCAGATACAGCAGGCAAGTTTGGCCATGGTAATCTAGATAATATATATCCTAGCATCACACATGAACTTGCAATCTAGCAAAATAAAATTTGATAAGTGAAAATATTTCATCATAAGTAGATGAAGTGCAGATCACTGAGACATTTTCAGAGCATAAAATTGTTTCATTATAAAAGTTTCAATTAAGGGGGATAGAAACACAGCAAAAATCAAAACAATTAGGAGCGAAGACTTGAAATGTTCAAGATGAACCTACACTTATGTTCCCAACATTTTGTGTGAATAAGAAGGATGATGTTGTAAAGTCATGACTTCATTTCATAGTGCATTGCCTTATCTCATAGAGCTAACTTAATAATTAACATTCTTTTCTTATTTTTTGGCTGTAAATAGCCTTATGATATCTTTAGGGCCCTATGAAATTAGACTTGAAAATATCCCATATGTTGCCTAATGATGTTATGTCATTTCATTGCTTCTGGGTAATGTCATTAAAAAGCCTAGTATTCAGGCAAAATTAAATATTGGAGATACAGCCTTCTAAAGATTCAACATAAGTTCTTTCCCAAAATCCATGATTTTTGTACTCATAAAATCAACAAACTATTTCCACTACTAGTACTATACTGAAAGGATTGCTTATCAAAAGACAATTTTATTTATATAATTTCACCGCTAGGAGGTTGTCAGACAGGTACATTATTGGAAAGAGGCAGTGGGTACCTTTTCTTTCCTAAATAGCAAGTCCCTGCCACTTTTGTAATAGCATACCATTTCCTTTTTTTTTTTTTAACTATTTTCTATTATATCTTTTTGGTATTTATAAAATGTTTTATGATGCATCATAATGAGAGCCATGCAAAATTCCTTTGCAGTGACAAGTTGTTTTGTAGTAGTCTTTGGCTTTTGTCAATTCTCTTTGTTACCCATTGTGACTGTAAAAACACAGGGCACTGGCACACTCACTCACCCAATATACACTCAAGACACACACACACACACACACACACACACACACACACACACACACACACACACACACACACACACACACACACACACACACACACATACACACACACACACACACACACACATACACAAACATACACAAACATACACACACACACACACACACACACACATACACACACACACACACACACACACACACATACACAAACATACACACACACACACATACACACACACACACACACACACAAAATAAATAGATAAATAAATAAATAAATAATAAATAATAAGTAAAATAAATTAAAATAAAATCAAATGTCAATAAGGTGGCAATCCCCACACTGCTACCATATTTAGGAAAACATCTAGATACATTAGTAACAAAGGCAATTCACTTGATGCAAAAAAATATATAAAACAACCTATGTAAAATTAAATTCTGCAAGCACAGTAGCTCTGAAATTGGAATGCCTCTTGTCCCTTTAAACCATGCTAGACATTTAAGTGTCAACAGCCCCCTTAGATAAAAAAAAAAAATAATTTATTGCTCATATATCAATAAACAACTACAAGTGATATATTTACTTGTGCAAGAGTGGTCCTTGGGGGAAAAGCACACGTGGTTGCTAAGTCACAGAGGAACCTCGTCCATTCTTGAGTAACTTCTGGCGCTCGCACACTTTCTAACAACACGGTGGCATAGTCTAGGACTGAAAGAGGGATAACAAATGAGTAAACACTTTTGAGGCAATGTACGTTCATTGTGATGGGTTTACCTCTGAAAATCATCATTAATTTATCAAAGTATAGAGTAACCTCTAAGAACCAACTCAATCATTTGCTTACTTGTTGGAAAAGCAAGATTTGCCTTCAGAGCTGCCATTATATGTCCAACAGTTCTTACAACATGATTGTAGGAGTAAGTATTGTCTGTCACCCATGATGCTTCCCTGATTGTGAGAATGGACGCTCCTGGTATGAACCTGGTTTGGAAGGGGAAAGAAATAATCAAATATCCACCCAAATACTAAAGAGCAAACTAATCAATCAATCAAAACAATTAAAGTATGAGGCTCCCTTGCCTACAGAGAGACAAGATTAAATCTAATTACCTGCCATTAAAAATTCTGTCTAACAGCTTTTGATATCATACCTTGTTGCCAGAAGCACAGCAGTAATTCCTACAAGTTGTAGTTGGTGGCACTTGACTTGTTCTACATTCAGGTAGGCTTCCACTATCTACACAAAGAGAGGAAGAACATTATCAATATCTAGGATATCTATCTTAACCCAAAATTCACAGAATGGTGAGAATACATGCTAAGTCCACTTGAGCTTTAGGTTTATTGACTGTATTTACACATACATGGTTCCACAAGTACTTTATTACCAAGGAGTCAATCACTAGTCATATTTACTTCACCTGATTACCCTTTTATTTTTTATTTTTTATTGTTATTAGTAATGTTCATAACATTATAATAATCATAATGCCAACAATAATAATGCCAATATCAATAGCATTAGAAAAAAAAAGCATTTGTGGAGCCATCTGTGTGAAAACAATAACAAATATGTGAAAAATAAAACAAAATGAATTTTTAAAAACTAGTAATCTTAGATTAGCTTTCACGTGAATACACCTTGATTAAAGCATTTTCACGTCAACAACAGAAAACCACCAAATTTCAACCTGCAATTATTAAGAACGGAATGACCAATAAATATGAAAAAGTCTAATGAATTCTAAGAGCACTATAAAAAGAAAATACCTGTGTTGCAGCATGAATCACTTTTGATGCATGCAGTTTCATATTGGTAACCTCGCACAACCAGTCTACCAGCACATGATGCATGTGTGGCGTGACATGCTGCTGGTAGTTCAGAGCACACCACGTTCGGGATGGCGGGCTATTTTGAAAAAATTCTCTGATTTCTGGTAGGCACTGGTTGCTTGAAAGCCTAAGGATAAAGGAATAACTGTATCTTAGTTTCTTACACTAATGTTTCTTTTGGTTCAATAATCAAGAGCATCACTGTTTACTTTATTACTGGAAAATTTCCCAAGATATTTTTTTTTTTTTTTCTTTTCAGTATCTACTTTTTAAGAAAGATCTGTGATTTTATAACAAAGGCAAAGCATGAAATCTGATTGTAATCCTGTACCATATAAATACTGAAATAATTTTACATTTTCATACATATACAATATCTTCAATTTAACATATTGCTGTCCACACAATAAATCAAATAAAAAAATTGAATTATTTTTTTTATTATTATTTTTTTTAATGTGGATAAAACATCAAAATCACCCTGTCAGTCCTCTCCAGAAAACTGGCTGACAGCACAACATACCTTGATGACGCAAGGAACTGGGCAAGAGTCAGAGCTGTTGGATAGTAGCCCGTTAAGCACAACTCCCTCAGCTCTCGACTGGCCTGAAGTTCGGTTCCTGGGTCTAAAGAACCCTCCAGGTGTCTTCTTTCATACCTTGAGCGCCACTGCAGAAGCCTGGCATGCATATCATTACCCATGGCAGCAACTTTGATCCAGTTGATGGCCGTTGGGTCGTGAACATTTTCATTTTCTCCTGTTACTTCTGCGATGCGACTCAAAACCCGGTTTGCCCAGGAAGCACCAGTCATCTGTGTGCATTAAGTGTTTCTAATAGAGTAGTAAAGGCAAAATTATGCAACTTGAGAAACCAGACAAAAAATGACATAAGATTCCATACCACATACATCAATTCTGAAAATGGTGGTCCAAAAATTAAGTAAATTAACATAATTTAACAAATGCAAACATTATTTGATCATAGTCTTAACCCTTGGAAATCCTATGCATCTTTTGTGTGTCACACTTTTTCTTTATATACTACATAATTTTATAGAGCACATGTGCCTACAATTATTTGACAAGGCAATAAATATATTTTACAATATTCTTTATGAAAAAATGCATTCATATTTGAAAATCATTGTAAACCTGGCAGCATCTTTTCACAAAAATAAAGTTTTTTTTATCTTCTTGACGAACAGAAGCAGGTAGTATCTCTTGACCAGACACTTGGTTTCATCATGCTTCTATAACTACAGCTGTCCTTTTGCATAACATACCTGTGCAATGTGAGAAATTCTTGTATGTACATAACGCTTGCAGCAAAGTGGTTGTGCACCCCATGGAGGACGGTAAAGTAACCATAGCTGTGAACGAGGCCACAATGATCCTCCAGTTTCCAGGCGTTCAAACAGAGTAACAGCAAGTTCACCATTGCCGACAGGTTTGGCATCCAAAACCACTGGAAAGAAAATATGAAAATATATCAGAAATAATAAACTGGTAAAGACGAGTATACACACTAATATCTGCTCCATAGCGCATACCACATAGCTTATGATGAATTAGCCACTTTTCGATATTCTAGACATAAGACTGGTTTGTAACTTTCCTTTCCTTTCTTGTGTTTTCTTTCTTTCTTCAGTTAGAAATAAAAGTTTCCATGTTATATTACATGCTCTCCCAACCTATCATATTGGCAGATGATAAGCAACACAAAGATATTATAATTCTAATATAATTTTCTGGCTATACAATGACTTTAAATAACTTAGGTAGGTAACATTCACTCTAGTGTTTAATGCAGATACTGAAGATTTACCTTTTAGAGACAAATCTAGCCAATGCAGCCAGATGTTAATGAAAACCAGAATTCTCCCATATACCACTAAGGGGCTTTTTCATAACACCGGTACTTTGAATTCTAATATGCAAGCACTAGGTGGACCTAATATAATTTTTGGGGGGAAGAAAATCTGTAAATGACTATTCTGTACAGAGGACTGAATACATTTCAATTTAATTTCTGTGAATTTGTACACGTTTTTTATCCTTCAAATACACTTTCTGCAGTTCTGAAATCTTAACTTCTTACCTCCTTCATTGTAGAGTAATGCAACTGCTAACTTAATGCTTGCCCCAATATTTCCACACTGAGCTGCTCTCTCAAACCAGTGCCACGTTTTCTCATTAGGCCACAATTCCTAAAAGTAAGGAGAAAAAGAGCACAGCACAGATTATATATCAATTGCTTAAAAATCAATTAATGTTAGTGAGAATGCATGATATATGCTGATGCTTATATTATTAACATCAAAAGTTGATAAAAAAACAAGAAATAATCATCTGATCTTACCTGCGTATGTACATGAGACCAAAGAAGAGGAGATTCATCAATAAGGGTACGTAGGTATTTGCACGTCGCTGAGAGTGTTGTCAAATCTCGAAGGGAAACGTGGCGAAGCACTCGATAAACAAGTTCTAGGGGCACACCCTCCACTCCCACTTCACTCCAACCTGCACCCATCCTCTCTGTTGCTTATTCATTCTATAAATAATATAAAATCAATTACACCTCATATTTTTAAAAGGGGTCTACTCCTATGAGACTAGTGATTAGGAATGGTAACATACAGCATCACTAATTTTACACTTTATATAAAATCTTGCATTTCAATCGGGCTACTGTAAATGCTGAAGTTGTAATTTTAGCAATAACTACTGCAAAATAGTGTCTTGTTCATAGAATCCGCACATATCATAATTTTGCCAAGATATTTATGGTTTAATTTCTGGTATATTTATCAAAAGTGGTGTCAGTACTGCAAACAGAAATGTACTAATATTCATATCCCATTTACAGACTTCATTTGCTTTATATATATAAAATACAAGTATAACATGTTAGGTGCCTCATGTTGTTCACAAAGTAATGAATGAGCTGGAAGCAAGAACTGCTAATGTGCACTAATAACCTGCATTATTGGTCATTGGTCAATTTTTAATACTGCAATTAATGGGTTAATTACGTAAAAAAAAAAGTATGATACCGTAAATGCATTTTTTTTGTAATGAAAAAGTATCTCTTTATGGCAGAGTCTCTAATTGACAATTGTGGGATGTTATAATAATATATAATATATAATAAAAATATTTTCATATATGATAATTACTAATACCCAAATATTCTCTGTACTAATGAAGTCCTAGATACTAGTGTGAAAATATAGAAATATATACATATACCACTTCATATTCATGTAACATTCTTCCTCTCTGCTATGTATGTAAAATTCCAAAGAAGTTTTCATTGTCTGGAAATATTAAATACTAACTTTTGCAGATTTTTGTTGAACTGAATAGGTCTATTTTGATACTAGGCCTTTCCACTGATATATGACAAGGAGGTAACATTTCAAGGCACTATACCTTGCCAAGCTAGTTGATTTCTCTTTTGAAAACTTTATTAACTTGGATCAGTGGGATAAAGTGCCCAAGTACTGCTCTAGAGTTCAGAAGTTCAATGCTCTCTGGTAGCACCTATTCCTGTTACACTATGCACCAATGTTTTTCATTTTATTATTACTGGCAAGTAAAATGCTCTGTTGATGTCTAAAACTATACCCCAGGGAATTTCAGGAGCGACATTTGATATTCCTCATATCTTAACCCATTTGCCACGGATTTATGTTCTGTCCTCTAGTTTTTGGTGCATTTTGTTTCCTACAGATGGCTCCACATGTGCTCAGCCGGCAAGGAGTCTATCAGTAGGCCCTAGTTACCGACCCTGATTTTCCCATTTATTGAATTGGCGGGAAAATTAATACTATTGCTATCGATACTGTTATTATTGTTGCTGATGTCATGATTGTTAAATTGTCATTAGAATATTTTAGACAATGATATGATACAAAAAACTCTTTCCTAAAGTGAAGGAAAAGGGTAAACAGGTGAAATAGGTAGTTCTGATAAACTGGCTATTTGGTGATTAAGGACTTGTAAAGCCATCTATGTGTAAATACAATAAATAAATGTGTATCAAAGTGGGCATGGCATCTATTCTTGCCAAATGTGGCGAATGGGTTAAGAATTCATATCATCTAAAGTTGCAATTATAGTGTTTTTGATATAATCAAAAGTGGTAATAATGATTTTCCATACGTAATTTAGGAATTATTGGAAATTGCATCAAATAATATTATGGCCTTCGCATCCTGTATTCTAAGAAAGACTAATACTCATCCACCATGTATATTCTCACAAGAAAGAGCTTGAAATACTTTCAAGCATTCTCTATCCTGCCAGAACATATATAAGGGATGCTTTTGATGAATAATGACAGAAATCCATTTTGGATATAGAAATTTATGTGTCTACCCCTCTATGTGTTTGATACTGTTAATATATGCAACCAACACTGCATTAGCATCATTTGCTTTATATATCTATCAAAATTTAAACAAACATAATCATGTACATAATTGATATTTTATATTTATTGTATATTACATCTATACTGTCATGTATTTTTAATGAGTGCAATATACATCAATGTTATGTAATGATGTAAAGCATTACCTCCTGAAAGAGTCTGTGACATATTTGCTGAGGTTACTAAAATTGGTAAAACAGAAAATGTGACATCAAGAGATGTGAAATGCATACACTAATAAAGAGGATAATCCAATGAAATATGTTACCATAGCTAATTAGATATTTCAGTATAATAATAATGGCATAAAAGTCAAAGAGCAGAACCAACTGTTATGAGGGAAAAGAGGTGTTTGTTAAAAAACATTGTCACAGAAAGGAATGTCTGTGGTCAAGGGTGGGTTGACTGCTCATTAACCTGACCCTGATGGGCCACGCATATTGGTGTCATAACAAACAACTCAGGCTATGGCTATACTCGCGGCAACACACCAGAGCGCTTGGAGCGGGTCGTTCAGCTTGATGTAGCAAACACAAATCTCCAGAATTTAAAATTCTTAGGAATTTTTTTTCACCCATCAGCATTGGCTTCATTTGGTAACACTTGGAGCAAGGTAACATTATGAAAGCAGACAATATTATCAGGAAACTCTATTTGTCTTGCCTCAGAGATGCTGTCATCCTCTCTTTTTTCCTTAGGCACCATCTCTCTAACCACAGAAGTGATCCCCTTATTTTAATGATTGTAGACTATTCAATAGCTGTTTTTTA